ATATATATATCTGTGTGTGTGTTTGCTCTTCTCATATTCTCTGGACTCCGTCATTCTTCGCTGTAGTGATTATCTAAACCCTCTTTGAAGCCCTTACAAACTCCTGAAGGACCCTTAAAGAACGCCTTTTCATAAATCTTGATAGACATCTCAAGGCAGATTCCCTGTTGAGCTTCTGGGGCTCGAGGCTGCTGAGGGGCAACCCTTAGGATCCAGTATCGCGAAGGACGACATCCCCGAACCCGAGAACACCTTCCGAGCTGCGGATCGCGGACCGTTTCTGCCCTTTGGCGCATCGCAAGTCGGAAGCTTGCAGATTCAATCCAAAGATGCAAACACACCGGCGGCGAGCTTCTGCCAGCAAGTGCTCAGATCTTCCTTCTTCTCTGGGGAGTTCGAGATGACAACCTCGGGCACGCGATCTTGGTCTGCAGTTCTTGCCAGTGTCAGTCGTAAGGCCAAACAACGTGGACCCCCAGCTCTTCGGCGTGCCATCGGGCCGGCCACTGGCTGCACTGGCCACAGTTCTAGTACAGCTCCACCATCGGCTGGAGTAGCATGCCAGCAATGCATGTCGTATTCACGGTGGCTTTAGCAAGTGCACCATATGCTCTGTTCGCTTCATACCTTTCGGCTGCTTTGGATGCCTGCGCTTTCCTCGGATTGAAGCCGTAGCTATCAAGCGGAAGCCGACCTTCTCAGCTGCTTCCACTGTGGGTCTCAAGTTGTCGAAGCCACCGTCGCCCGGAGCCGCCTCATCGCCGTCGCCGATCATTAGTGTGGAGGTTCCCCCAGCACGGAGATTCCTGTGAGAGCCGTCGTGCAACTACATTTCATTACAGCTGCTGACGAACAACGTATGGGAGTGGAGGCTGACATGTGTCGACTTGTGAAAGTGATGACTTAAGTTTCGCAGAGTGTTAGACTTGTCTCTTCGATCAAGTGTGGTACGACATTCCGATGTTCAGAGTTCAGCACTCATGCCGACGGCTTAGGGGCTCTTGGATCTTAGCTTGTTCTATTCTTTGTCAGCGTTTTCGCGATTGCACCGCTGTGACTACTACTGGTAAAGTAGAAAACAGCTGTCCTTTGCTTTCAATATCGTCGCAGAACCAGTCGCCCACAGACGTTAGAGCCTCGAGCAAGACGAATTAACATCCTTCCTCATGCATCTTTTTGCATCCTATTATACCATGCCCAGCTCTGATTCAACTAGTTCGGCAGGTGAAGGCATGAAACACACCAAAACACAATCGAGCGCACCCTATCAATGACCGATACCCAGCCTTTGGGCGGCACTGCCCACCGAAAAACCCTCGGCCACCTCATGTGCGACATCCCTTTCACTAACAGCTTCTGAATGTTCTGAACCTCATCACGGCGACATGCGCCTTAACCACATCTTAGTAGTATGCATAGTCGTCATCTTCGTCTTCAGCGCAACGAACATTGTAAGCATCATCATGGTCATCTCCTTCCTGATCATATTGTTGGTAAGAACGAGTACAGGAGTTGTATGGGGGTTTCCGAAAAAAGAGGACCCTGACATAGTAATTACCCTGAATACTAGGATCCTTAGTACAAGGACCCTAGAATAAGGTACCCTAATTTCCGAAAACTCCCGTATGGAAGCGCACGATGTGCACCGGTCCTGAAGGCCGAGGCAAGCCAGCTCTCTTGCTCCTGACGCCACTTGGATGCGTAGTCCGTGCCTTCCTCAAGCCAGTCGCGGTTCTGGCCGATCTCCCGTCCTCAGGGTTTTTTTCGAGCATGCATTCCAGGACACTTCGTGGTTGACATGGCTCCCCAGTTGGAAAAAAACACACACCATAAGAAAAGCAAAGTCAGGAGTCCTGGGGCGTATTCCGATGAGCTCAAGCCCAGGTGGCCCACCTGGTCTTCGACTGTGGGCACTCGGCCGCCGCCCACAGTCGAACCTGGTTCGCAGAAGTCGTAGAGAATCTGACCACCGAGAAGGTCGGCAGAAGCGCTTGCAGGTTCATGATAATCATAGACTCCAGGATACGGCGGGCCGGTGATGATTGCATCCACCTTCTCTGGAAGCTGCAGAATCCGATTGTCACAGCGATGGATCTGGACTTCTCCTTCGGAGGGCATGGCCTTCCGCAGTGACCTGATGCGCGCGGCATAAAGCTGGGCAACTCCATGAAACAGGGCTGGCGCCTCCAGCAGATCATCCTCCAAAGTGCCTTCTGCTCCAAAAGCCCCGGGACCGCGGTCTCCCCACTCCTTCGAAGAAGAGTGGAGGTAGGTCCGATCCCGAGCTCGGCTCAATGAGACCAGGAGCACAAAGTGCAGAGCATCCCGGAGGGCCCCAGGCTCCAAGGAAGCGATCCGGGACCGGAGATACTTCCAAGTTTCGCTCTTCAGCTTCATGCCATGAGCAAGCTCTCGGCTTTTCGCCAGGAGTAAGTCTAGATCGAGGCGATGGGCGTCCGTGTGGTGCGCTGCCGCGAAGAGCGCAAGAGGCGACACGTCGCAACCAATCACGTCCTTGCCAGCAGCACGGCCCTCCACGAGAACAGTGCCCGATCCGCAGAACATGTCCTGTTTAGTACCGCTCTGCACCCGATCAGGGATCAGGGTACATCGGGCAGTTACAAGTTTCGTCCGAATCGGGCTCAGGTGCAGATGAAGCAGAACGCCAATTTTACGGTGGGAACCTGAACCTCCTCTACAACATGCTCCCAAACATCCAGCCGAAGATAAAAGCAGTCGAGGCACCATGACAGTCGTGGCCTCGGGAATCAGCGCGAAGAGAGCCCGAGCACACAAGGCCTGCATTCCTGCAACATACCTCGGCCATGCTGTGGGAATCACCTACCTTCTGTCCGAAGATCGGTAAGGAAGGAATCCTCAACCTCCTTCAGGCTCCCTCCCATGCAGGGCTTTCCGCGTGACCATTCCAGCCGGGCTCTGGCTTTGAACTCTGCAATACCCTAATATTCCATGTGCCCAAATAGTATATACATTGGCCCTAAAGTACATATATAGGGACTACATTAAGGCCCAAGTCTATACTATTTGGATACCTGGACCCTTAGGGATAGTATCCAGACATTGCCCTTTGACGCAACTTGAAGCGCTCGACGGATATGACTCGAGGCTTGGTTTGGCTTTGATGGAAGCGTGAGGGCGACTCGACCTTTCAACAACAGCACTTTTGCCTGGCTTCGCTACAACTCCTCAAAAATAACACCGAAATCAAATCGCAATTGTCGCCGGCGTGCTTGTAGAAGCCGTGGGTGAGCTGATCGTGGCCTGAGGCCAAGAACGGATACCTTGGTGGCATTCCGTTCGTCACGGCTCAAGTTTTATGGGCTGCACGGCTTCAAGATTAAGGGACTCAATTCTGGGAGCTGATTCAAGACTTAGGACCTTCCACTACAAGGCTCCAGGTGGAATATTGATCTTTGGACTGGTGCTTCGAGTTCGGCTCTGAGTGTCTAATCGAACCCAACTACGGCCCCAAACCCAAACCCTTAAGAACCCCGAACCCTCCTGTTTCAAGCTCCTCGCGGAAGTGAAGATCCGCAATCGCTGAATCATCTCAAGTCCGCGGCATGAAACCGAAATGCTTCAAGTTTAAGCTAATATAGTACCATACACTATAACATGACTTGTAATATCTTGTAGTGCAATGTAATGTTATGTTATACAATGCAAGTTCATGAAACAAAATATAAAATGATGTATAGTGTAATCTCATGCAATAGAATTGAATAGCCTAGAATGGAACAGAATATTTAGGTGTACCAAGCTAACAAGGGCAATGTCTCAAAATGCTCCGAGAACCAGCTCTCAGTTGGACCCACAATGGCAAAAAAGCCCAGTAACATTTTAGGGTTTAGGGTTTAGGGCCTGGGGTGTGCTTCTGGCTTCAGGCTTAGGGCTAAACTAACTGGGACGGTTCCAAGCACCTGCAATTAGAGCTATAGTTACTTTACACATTACATAAGCCTAGTTGCTATGTGATGCCCTAAACCCTAAACCCTAAACCCCTGAACCCTAAACCCTAAACCCTAAACCTGAACACTAAACCCTAAATGGCATGCAGAACCTTGTCCATCAAGTCTTAAGGCGGCTTTTTGCCATCTGGGGAGGCTCGAAGAATCCAGTAACCTCAATAGCAATACTACCTGGGTAGTTCTCGAAATTAGGGTCCTGTTGATAAGGGTGCCGTACCATCTTGGGGCCCTAACAAGGGACCCCAATTTAGAAAACTACCCACGTAGTCGAAAGAAGCAACACTCACCATATCAACGGCAAGATGCCCAACAAGCCACTGTAGCTCCAGTGCCCTCTCCAGGTGTTTCGTGATGTCCTCCGGTTCAGAGTTTAGGAGTTACCGTACTTTCGGACTTACGAGTTGTAGGGACGGTGGAAATCTTCAACTTTCACAGTCACTGAGCCATTCATCGTCACCTCAAAACCTGCTACCCTCCGTTCGCCAGTAACTCGGTGCGTCGGAACTCAGAGACCTGACGACAGTCAGGCCTCCCTACTTGTACTGCCAAGCCTATGCTCCCTACCATCCCCCCAGCAGATCCCCCCTCAAGGTTAGGGAGATGGCCTCTGGGCCAGTCGAGCTGAAGTCATAGAGCTGACTCTCTTTCCGGTTGGCCTCCTCCTGCACCTTTGGGCTGCAGGGCATGCTGCTGAAGTCGCTCATGCCGCTCATTTTGCCGATGAAAAATGCACACAACGACAGCTCTCAAGCGTTACCGGAAACGTGCTCAGCGGCACCACCTCGTGAGGAGGATGGTGTTGCTGATCTTCGCATCACGACTGCGATGATGTTGCTCGTGATGGTGCCGATGGCAAAACTGATGGTGAAGTGATGACATGTGTCACCGGAGGCATTTGCAATGATGATGACGTCGGTGAACAGTATGACGGCGATTCTGATAATCATGGTGGTGGCGGGATAACTAAGATGATGATGATGGTGGTGGTGGTGGTGGCGACGATGATGATGATGATGGTGATGATGATGATGATGATGGTGGTGATGATGATGATGGTGGTGATGATGATGGTGCTGATGATGATGGTGATGACAACTGTCGCTATGATGGATGTGAGCAGCCTGCATGCTGTCAGCGCCGCTCGAGCTACTGCACAGTGACTTTATGTTGCGACGCTGTGTGGGGTCTTCAGAAGGCGCCGGCCCCCAGCCCAAACCCCCGCAAGAAAGGACCGAAACACAAGCACTGGCGACTCGACGAACTCACGTTGGTGGCGCCAAGGTCTCTACTCGTTCCAAGCTCCATTCAACAGGGCTAAGCTTGCTGGACACCTCAGCTGTCCTGATGGCCTGCCTTCATAGCTCGGATCCAAAAGGACTCGGGGGGTTGCACAGGACGGCCCATGTTTTGAATAGGAATCCTCAAACCCTTGATCTTCACCAAAAAAGCCGCCGGTCCCGGCCTCCTGCAGCGTCGGCCAAAGCCTCAAAACCTCCTCCCAACGGCCGGCCCTCTCGCAGACACTCACTGAGGCGCTGCAGGCATGGACGTCGACCTTTGCAAATGCTACAGCAGATCCTCACCCCTGAAGCCCCCTGAAACCGCTCAACACCCCAACTGCTTTCGAGGCTTAGTGACAACAAGAAAACGAGCTCTTGACAGGAGTAGATACTGTAAACATTAAACACTAGAGTCAGAATCAATCATTATCGTCTTCATCAGGCTCATCGACATCGTCAACAACACATTCTGAAGACCAAACCTGCATTATCATGACTGTCAGTCATTGAACCCTTGGCGGCCCTCCAGGTCCTTGATTACACTCCAAGCCCCAGCTCCGAATTGCATCTTCATGCCACTCTGAGCACGGCCTTAGGTTGCTAAAAGATTATCCTGAACGACTTAAGATCCAAGTATCCTATGGCGGCCTTGTCGGAGACTTCACGTCTTTACTTGCATGCCCACCCCTGGGTCGAAACCAGTCCGGGACACCGGGTAGCCGCTCGACTCTTTCAGCGCGAGCATATGCAAGGCCAAGTCCCACTTCCCGGCACGCGAGAAGGCGCCAATGACGGCATTGTATCCTGGGCGTTGTCTTCGAGCCTCTGACAAACACTTCTACTTTGACTTCCTTGCTTATGAATGAACTATCGCAAGCATGGACCAAGTATCCGAAACCATCGAGCTGAAGACTCTGGTGTTGCATCTGCTCGCAGAGCTTCAAGGTCTGCTCCCACTGCCTGGTCTCCTCGCAGACTCCGAAGACAGCGCTGTAGGAAATCACATCAGGGCTCAGCCCCAAGCTGGGCATCTCCTGCCTCAGATGTTTAGGGTTTAGGGTTTAGGGTGCCTCAGATTTCTTTGCTCTGACTCTGCTTCTGGACTCGAATAAAACAAGTCCGAAAAGTCCAATCCATGCATACTCTATAGATCAAAGTCCAAGTCTATACTCCACAGCAGCCGGATTGCAACAGCCCAACCGCCATTTGCGACTGAGCTCCCCGGGCACAGCTGGTGATGCAGGCATTGCAGGCCACCCGGTCTGGTGCCATGGCTGAAGATCGCATGCTCTGCAGCAAACTCAGCGACTGCTCCCACTGGCCGGAAGCAGCGCATGCACTGATGCAGGCGCTGTAAGTAATCAAGTTCTTGTCCACCCTCTTCCGTGTCATCTGAGACAGCAGCTCCACAGCAGATTCCCACTTGTGACACTTCTCACATGCACTGATGCAGGCACTGAAAGTTACCTTCGGACAAGGGCATATCGCCGATGGTCTACAGGAAATTGTCCTCCTATCGGTACCAAGCTGTGTGTTTTCAAGACAGCACTCCGACCTTTCGAGTTTCACACCTGCCATCACCTGCCTCTCCCGCCTGCTGCGACCTTACATTCTTCCCGACTCCGACTCTGTCGACTGCCCGCATCAGCATACCTCCAAAACATCGAAACCCAAAACGCCGGTTCCTTTCGAATCACTCGCCATTTTGAAAGACCTTTGAACACCAGCACCCCTCGCCCCCCCCAACCCTCAGAGCCATCCAGGGGCCGTATTCTGCTCCACGCGCCGAGCTTGCATCTGCTGCAGAAGCCCCAAAGCAGGTCTCCAAGATTCGGCCTTTTAGGGCGAAGAGATGCCATGTACACACATAACTCATCTCACTGCATTAAGGCGGGAGCTCGCTACCCCTTGAAGCTCCTACAGTGCTTGGGCGCTTGGGCGCTGGGGTTTATAGGGTTCCGTGAGTTTGGGACTCAGAAGGTTTCGGGTCTATGACAGCCGATGGCAGATAGGCTTAGTTGCGAAATACCTCTTCCCCCTCACCACTCCGCCTTGGCACATGCATTGATGCATGCACCAAAATGGAAAGCGTTCACCTGCATCAACAAGAGGCTACCCGGGATATACACATTCTTTGGGGGCAGCTAACGAGTGAGCTGACGTTAGGCTCTGCTTCACCACGCCTTCTTGTATGTACAGGTCGAAACATCCAATGCCCCTCCACAACATCTGCATCTGCAGCCTCAAGCCATAAAACCTCTAAGACCACAAGCCATCCCCATACATGTGTGTATATATATATA